AAAGGCTTGTGTCGCGTAAGTTTCGTCGGTACGAAGTTACGGAAAATTAATTAACACACGGAGACGTAACAATACCTACAAGAAACCTTATTGCATGTACATTTTTAAAGTTTGATTAGCCTAACCTTGATACCTACAAGAAACCTTATTGCATGTACATTTTTAAAGGGGTATCAAGGTTAGGCTAATCAAACTTTAAAAATGTACATGCAATAAGGTTTCTTGTAGGTATCAAGGTTAGGCTAATCAGGTGTTTTACTATCATGTCTAAGATATTCTCTAACTGGTGTTTTACTATCATGTCTAAGATATTCTCTAACTAGTGTTTTACTATCACGTCTAAGATATTCTCTAACTAGTGTTTTACTATCATGTGTAAGATATTCTCTAACTAGTGTTTTACTATCATGTTTAAGATATTCTCTAACGAGCGTTTTACTCTCATGTCTAAGATATTCTCTGATTAGTTTTACTGCCACGTGTAAGATATTCTCTAACTAGTGTTTCACTATCATGTCTAAGATATTCTCTAACTAGTGTTTTACTATCATGTGTAAGATATTCTCTAACGAGCGTTTTACTATAATGTCTAATATATTCTCTAATTAACGTTTTATTATCACATACAAGATATTCTGTAACTGTTCTTTTACTGTCATGTGTGAGCAAACCACACTTTTCCTAAGATAATATTTTAAGTATACTTCTACGTATGTTATCACAGAGCCACACGTATATTTCTGCAATAACTTTCAAATTGTTAATTATTTTGTTTTACAGCAGCTCATTTTTACAAATTAAAAGTTAGCTAATCCATCTGAAAACACTTAAATGTTTCACCTTACAATAATTAATTACGCCACCTTAACACTTACCCACCTTAAAATTGTAATTGTCTTGCTTCCCAACAGTTACTCGTTCTTTCTTAAGCAATCAACTGTTTAATCAATACCATCAGATTGAATATTTAATTCAATTTTTTTGTAATGGTTCGAAAACATATAATAATGTTGGATGAATAACAAAATATCACATAGGACTGAAACAAGTCCCGAACCAAATTTGATAAAATTACCAAAAATTGCAATCCAGTCATCAAAGTTGTAAGCATTAATGACCATCTGAAGAATACTCAAAATTCCTCCTGAAATGTCTAAGAATGTAGCTTCAATACTCCAACCAACAGTAGAGCGCCGTTTACACTGAAAGAAAAGTTGAGGAACATAATTGATCATAGAGATTACTAGATAAACGTATGACAAATAATAAAGTAAGAAAAGCCAGGGATAAGACTTTACAAAACCCAGTAAAACTATGACTAGAAAAATGGCTGCTCCAATAAAGCTCAAAATCAGGAAAACGGTAACGACAAGAGAAACTTTTTGGTTATTTTTTTCATACATAAAACATTGTACCATGTTGACAAATGTGGCGAAGACTGCGTGACAAGCAAAGAAGATGTCATTTAAATCAACTGGAATGACACCCGTTGGGAATAATTCAAAGTACTCAGTTCTTACAGCATGGATATGCTTTAAACATATGTTGAACACTGAATAATATATATATCCAACCATGTTTAACGCTACATAATCAAAACTAAGTCCAACAACACTTTTTCTTTTCCAGTTTAGCAAAAGTTGCGGATAAAACGAGACAGTCCAAGCTATGAAATATAACCAACCGAAAACAGAACTTAAAATGAGCAAAGATTTGTCTTTGTAAACTTTCACGCGTACAAAGGCATCAGAAACATCGGTATAGTTCGGATTGGCATCGGCACGTATCGTTGTATGACCGGCTTCTTTAGCTGTAACATTATAATTCAAAGTGCTGTTAGAATTTGCCAAGATAGTCAAGTTATTTGGTAAACAGTTTAAGATATCACCATTTTCATATGTAAAGCTAAGTGTTATATCATCACTAACTGGTCTGTTAAGATAAACAGAAAAATAGGCGGTATCTTTGTAGTTGAAAAAAAGATCTTTAGTTGAAACTTGTAATTTTTGTGCTGTTACCAAAGAAACACATAATGAGAACGCTAGTCCAAAGGCAACAGTGAATATTCCTGGATTAAAAGTCCCAAAGATTAACCGAGATATGCTACAATGTCTCTTGAAGTCTGCTCTTTCTGTTTCACAACGCTCTTGGTTTAAAGTTGGCTTATGAAGAATCTTCATGGTCGTATTTGTTTACAGTTTTAGTTTTAACCAGTTTTATCGCAACAAAGGTTGATTATTCTGGAAGTTATCTTTTTTTTTTTAAGTTTATCACCATTAAGCAACTCTAACACCCAGAGTAAAAATAGCATCGAGCTGACACTACTCTAATATCGCAGATTTTGTAAACGGCCACTGTATAAGTTATTGAGGGTTTCATGATCACTTGTGATTCACTTCAATAACATTTGCACCTTCTCCTCTTCAAACGAGCCAGCTATGAAACAAACTATAATTTATATTGTAAGTGTAGAAGGTGTATGTTTAGAAGAACATCAGTTAGGTGACGTTGTAAATACAGATTAGGTACAGCCAGTTGAATGGTTGGATTCACTAGTGTATGTGAAGTAAAGAAAATCACAACGCTTGTATCAGCCGGTTATCACATTCAGAACTTAACGTACTATCTTGAATATTTGCCCTTGAAACAACCTTGATCGTACACAATAATTACCATTACTCTGCCATTTAACACATTTTTTATTTAATAAAGTGATTTATTATTACCCTATTGTGGACAACGTTAATATATGTCAACAAACTGTTACATTATCTCACATCATTTTACTAGGAAAATATCTCTCTTTTTGTTGTTGTTGTTGTTGTTGTTACCATCACTCCAGCATCTTGCTGTCTCAGCAATAAGCTTGAGAGGCTAGAACGCTAAAATTCGTGGTTCGATCTCTGCTCTGGGCACAACTCTAATAGTCCATTGTGCAACTTTGCAATAAAGAAAAATATAAAAAAATTGCCCCTATTGTTATAACTTTAAAAATGTACATGCAATAAGGTTTCTTGTAAGTTAGAGAATATCTTAGACATGATAGTAAAACACCAGTTAGAGAATATCTTAGACATGATAGTAAAACACCAGTTAGAGAATATCTTAGACATGATAGTAAAACACTAGTTAGAGAATATCTTACACATGATAGTAAAACACCAGTTAGAGAATATCTTAGACATGGTAGTAAAACACTAGTTACAGAGTATCTTAGACATGATAGTAAAACACTAGTTAGAGAATATCTTACACATGATAGTAAAACACTAGTTAGAGAATATCTTAGACATGATAGTAAAACACTAGTTAGAGAATATCTTAGACGTGATAGTAAAACACTAGTTAGAGAATATCTTAGACATGGTAGTAAAACACTAGTTACAGAGTATCTTACACATGATAGTAAAACACTAGTTAGAGAATATCTTAGACATGATAGTAAAACACTAGTTAGAGAATATCTTACACATGATAGTAAAACACTAGTTAGAGAATATCTTAGACATGATAGTAAAACACTAGTTAGAGAATATCTTAGACGTGATAGTAAAACACTAGTTAGAGAATATCTTAGACATGATAGTAAAACACCAGTTAGAGAATATCTTAGACATGGTAGTAAAACACTAGTTAGAGAATATCTTAGACATGATAGTAAAACACTAGTTAGAGAATATCTTAGACATGGTAGTAAAACACTAGTTACAGAG